ACAGTTGGCGTTAGACAATATTGATAGATTTCCTAAGGCGTCAACAATTATCTTAAGAGACTTCTATGTTGATGATTTACTGACGGGAGCTGAGTCTGCAGAAGAGGCAATTAAGTTGTGCAAGGAAGTGGCAAATGTCTTAAGTTCAGGTGGCATGAACTTAAGAAAATGGGTGTCCAATGAGGCTGCTGTTCAGAACGGTTTAAATGGTGAAGCTAGGGATTCTAATCAGGTAGCATTTGGTGATAAGGATGCCAATAAAACATTGGGCTTGTGGTGGCACTTTCGAGAAGATCAATTAAGGTTTTCTGTAGAATTTACAGATGCTAATAAAAGAGCATCGAAACGATCTATTTTATCGGAAGTTTCAAAGATCTTTGATCCGCTAGGGTTGGTAGCACCAGCGGTGGTTTTGGCAAAAATATTGATTCAGAAGTTATGGTTGGAAAACTTGGATTGGGATGAGTCTTTACCTATGTCCCTAGAGACTGATTGGGTAAGACTTAAAACTGAGATGGTAACATTGAATGAGCTTATGATTCCAAGAAAGGTGGTTGGAAATAATCACCAAATAGAAATTCATGGATTCTGTGATGCGTCTACAGTGGCGTATGGTGCATGCGTCTATGTGAGAAGCCGAACAGATTCTGGAGAGATTCAGGTGTCATTGCTTTGTTCTAAGGCTAGGGTCAGCCCTCTTAAGAAACTAACAATTCCTCGACTAGAGTTATGCGGTGCAGTGCTTCTGGCTCAGCTGATTGATAGAGTAAGAAGTGCATTAACCATGGAAGTTGGTAGTATATGGCTATGGTGTGATTCTACGGTGGTGCTAGGTTGGATAGGTACTGCCACGCATAAATTGCAAACATTCGTTGGGAATAGGGTGTCGTTAATTCAAGGTGTAACCTCGAATGATGATTGGAGATATGTCAAGTCTGAAGATAATCCTGCCGATATTCTGTCAAGGGGGATGTATCCTAATCAGTTGTTAGATTGTTCGAAATGGTGGAACGGGCCAGTCTGGTTAAAGTTTGATATATCCGAATGGCCAAGAACACAATTAGAAGATGCGACGGATTTACCTGAGATGAAGGTGCTGTTGATTGCGACACCAGTTGAAGTTAAATTTCATTTTCATAAATTTAGTAATTTAACTAGGTTACAACGGGCTTTATGTCATATTTTCAGGTATATTAATAAGTTTAGACGAAGAAGTAATGGTGAACGCTTCTTTACCTCTATGGAATTGGAAGGAGCCTTGTTGGTTTTAATAAAAATGGTTCAGAAGGAATGTTTTGGTCAGGAAATATGTGATATTTTAAAGAAGAAGCCTATTTCCAATAAAAACCTGCAGCGATTAAGTCTATTTCTCGATGACCAGGGGTTGCTGAGGGTGGGAGGTAGGCTACAATTGGCGAACTTAGGATATTCCAAAAAACACCCTATTTTACTAAGCTCAAAGCATACCTTTACTCATATGTTGGTGGATAGGGAACATAAACGGTTGTTACACGCTGGTCCTCACTTATTGTTGTGTTCGTTAAGGGAAAGGTATTGGATTATGGGTGGTCGAGGATTGGCTAGAAAAGTGGTTCATAAATGCATCAGATGTTTCAAGTCGAATCCAAGGGCTTTGGAGCAAGTCATGGGTGTCTTGCCGGCAGAGAGAGTCAACCCGGCCCCACCTTTTTACATTACGGGGGTGGACTATGCAGGACCCCTATACCTCAAAAATAAGTACGGTCGTGGAGCCAAATTGTCAAAATGTTACGTTAGTATTTTTATCTGTTTTTCAACCAAAGCGCTTCATATCGAAGCAGTCTCAGATTTGTCAACAGCTTCATTCATTGCATGTTTTAGAAGATTTGTGGCGAGAAGGGGAAAGCCTTTTAAAATTTTTTCTGACAATGGGTCAAACTTTGTTGGGGCAAGATCGGAACTCAAAGAATTAGCGGGGTTTCTAAGAACTCAGTCAGAAGCAATTGGCACTTGCATTAATAATGAAGGAGTACATTGGTCTTTTATTCCTCCAAACTCTCCCAACTTTGGTGGTCTTTGGGAAGCAGGGGTGCGTTCTTGCAAATCGCACTTAAAGAAGGTTGTGGGAAACGCGGCATTGACATATGAAGATTTGAGTACCGTTCTAGCGCAAATAGAATCAGTCCTTAATTCCCGACCTCTAATACCCTTATCTTCCGATCCCAATGACCTAGACGTCCTTACCCCTTCCCATTTTTTAATTGGGCGATGTCTCACCTCGCTGCCAGATCCTGATTTGGAAGATGTTCCTGCAAATCGACTATCAAGGTATCAACACCTCCAAAGGGTGTTACAGCATTTCTGGTCCAGATGGTCAATGGAGTACCTTGGAGAACTCCAGCAAAAAGGCAAGTGGACAAAGGAGGGTAGAAACCTAGAAGTTGGACAATTGGTGGTCGTAAAAGACAATAATTTACCGCCTCTTAAATGGAAACTAGGACGGGTGGTGTTGGTGTACCCGGGTCCAGATCGCAAAGTGCGTGTCGCGTCAGTGCGTACTTCTGAGGGAACATATAAGCGGGCTATCTCAAAATTGTGCCCTCTCCCAGTAGAATAGTGTAAATTGAATTTAGATTTATGTCACTATATGGATGTTGAAATATATTTCAAGGTGGGGGTATATGTTTGGGACAATTTTATATAGTTTATTTTTTACTTACAACGCAGAGACCCATTACTCCTATTAGTTGGCCATTTTGCAGTCTGGCAACGTCGACTTCTGTAAAAAACGAGTTGGCGCGCTGTCTTGGTTATGTATGCTCTCGATATGTTCGAGATTTGATGCCCGTTTTGTATTGTAAAATTATTATTGTTTTCTTGTTGATGCAAGAGTTTTTCGATTAAAATGTTCAAGTAAGGCTGGTGTTTTAATATAGTGAAGTTAAATACGGGATTTACAACCCAACACCGGTATCTATATTTAACTATATTTAATATTTTAAAAAATATCCTTTTATTTTTTACTTGCAATGTTTACCCCATTTAATTCTAAAATTGAACACTAGCGAGGGCTAACTTCGGCAGTAGTGCTGCCTCTATATTTCACGCACGGTCCCTATACTGAGTGGGCTTCAAACCAGAAACAAATATATTATACTTTTTCTAATACAGTTAACTATAAACGAACAATTGGCTCATTAGATTTTTTAACAGATAAAGAATCGATAGGGGGGGTAGCCGGGACAAATTCCAGGGGCCCGGGCTCAAGTGGGGGCCCGACAGCGGCATAAGGGGGGCCCGACAGCTAGAGATTTCACTAAATAGGAGGAGAAGTTTTTGCTTAAAGACCTTTTTTTGTGATATTGAAAGAGCTTGATTTTTTTATAAAATTGTCGCGGTGCCCGACCTGGAAAATTTTCCCGGGGCCCGACCTGGCTCTCGGCGGCCCTGAGAATCTAGAAGAAAGTAATACACCAAATAATAACGGTATTTGCAAAAAGTGGGCTTTAAAATTAATATATTTTCACTTAATAGAGAAAATTAATAGAATGGCTGTTCGGAAATGTTTGATGGTTGTTTTTAATTTGACATTCCTAGCAAAAATATTAATAAAAATGGATCGGTTTAATCGCTCTAGTATTTCTTCTGAAAAAAATTGACAACCCATTTTTAGTTATTTTTTGTACTAGACCACAAAAAATATCATTTTAATTTTGATGGGGCTATTACGATCCACTCATACAAAAATGCATGTTTATGCCTCATAAGACTGCATCGCAAAAACTTACTAGTACTCTTGAAACAAATAATAACGTTATTCTGTGTTTTTCACTTATGATTAAATAAAATTCAACAAGAAACAGACGAAAAGTATCATATTCTATGTATGAACCAATGTATTAACTTTAATCAATGATTTTGTGTATATTCCCTTCCCTTTCAAAATCTTAAATCGTTTTTTATTCGTCGCTTTTGCCGGCTTGCAACTGGCGTGCAAGAAAAGTTTTTCAAAAAAGTTTGACAGTCTTTCCACCAGATCAACTCTGATAATAAAACTTTATTTGGAAGGAAAAGTTCCTAAAACTTTTTTATTTACGACTGAATAAAAAATCGTGCAAAAAATATCACTTTTAGCAAAGAACTCCAAATACTAGCAATCTTTGAGGTTATTTTTCATAAACAAATACTTGTTCAACGTTTTAATATGAAAAATTGAATTTGTAAAGGAAGGGACTCTGGAAGGCCACAGTACTAACTAAAGATGTTGAAGATGTGCGAATTCACATGCAACAAAGTTTCAATAAATCGGTTAAAAAATTAGAAGCACAAACAGGTAGGAACAGTGTTTAAAAGCTAATTTCTAAAAATTACAGTTTTAAGTTTATCGATAGGAACTAGCCAAAAGGTGTTAAAAAATATTTGGCAAAGCATTCCTAAAAGGTTTCAGTACTGGTGATTTTGTTAAACATATGGAATAATATCGAGGGTTCAATGGGCAATTAAATGACAATAACATATTGGATCGAACTGAGAATCCTTATTCATACAAGTTGGTATTTGGATAAAAGAATATTAGGGACCATATTTTTCTAGGACACAATTAATGCCCAATGATATCATGAATTTGTTGATTAGCTACATGACGATTAGCTACAAATGGGTTATTTTGTGAAAACTTGTTGTTCTTTCTAATCAAGATAATTTTCTACTTTACAAAATTTTAAAAATTTTATATATGGGCTTCATAATGTTTAAATATATCACCGGTGCTATTCCCCCAATTTACTTAAGTATGATAAAAACCGTGTATAAGATCTCCATCCCTTCTCACTTCCCGGAATCATTTTAGATTACAAGTGTAAGAAAAATTGGAAATACTATCATTTTTGATTTAATTTTTTTTAATAGCTTAACATATTCAAATAAAAAATAATGTACTAAAAATGTTTTTTCATCTGTTAGTCCTTGTGACATAAACTACTATTACCCACTTTGTATGTAAAAGCCATTTCTTAACCTACCTCTTTTATGGAGATCATCCCTCGTTATCTGACTAGTGAGAGCCGTGGGGGCTGGAGGAAGGCCAAGTGGAGGTGCCGTGGGGGTCCCGGGATACCATGCCCAACCGGGCGTTTGCCCGTTGAACATCCTCAATTTATCATAAACCGACTCATTTTGCGCGGACGCTTGTTGTTCCTTCTGTGACGCCAAATTTCTTAGAACTCGGTTTATGGATGACACCTAGAAGTAAAATATGGTCTTTTAAGTGAAATATGGTAGTTTGATAGTGAAAATAGAGTAAATTTGTTGGCATATATTTGGAAGAATAAATGGAACGCTGTTGTGGGTAAGAGTTATAGTAGGTTTTGCTATAATGTTAGGTTATTTATTTCAAATTTAATAGTAATATATAACTTCTGTAATGATATTAATGATTCCTAAATTAAGAAGAGGAACAATTAGAAAAATAAGAGTAGAAGTAACAATATTTAAAATTTAGCATAAGATATAGTTTTTTGGCGGCTATAATACAATACTCACGTTGTCAACTATTGTTGATTAAGAAATTAGGTGTATTTCCTGATATCTTTATCTAATAACACAAAGTAGTAATTTCCTTATTATTTTAATAAAATAATAATAAATGATTATCTAGAAGATAGCTGTCATTTTAATTTATTATAAAATGCTATGTGTTCAATACATGACTTTTCTGTAGTGGCGGCTTGTGCATAAATACTGTAGAGCTGCAGAACTGCCAAAAAATGTAAATATATCTCATCTAAATTTCACAGAAATTATTTTAGACATTCTAAAATATACGTAAAACAGATTTTATGGGTAATCTCATTAATTTTAATTAGTAAATAGTGTGTGTGCACTGCATCTTTTAGACCGTTGCCTTATCACGTCTCTTTTAGTAACCTTAGTAGGCATATGCCTGTCAAAAAGATTAATTCACAAGTTTTCGAACAGCGAAACTTTCTTGTCAACCATATTTTGATCAAAAATAAAAAAGGTGTATTGCAGAATTCTAATTAAATTTTTTTGGCAGTTCTGCAGCTCTACAGCACTTATGCACCAGCCGCCACTGTCTAAATTCTTATTAAATAAATTCAGACTGAATATTTTAGATATTAAGCGGCAAAAAGTTATACATGTTAGGACTCAAATATGTTATAAATCTTTTACTTGTAGTACTTTGAAAATGTGTAATTCTCAAATTATTAGGTGCAGCTCTAGTGCTATATAAACTATTTAATATTGTGGCTCATATTTCAGGATTTTCATGTATAAAAGGTACAGGTCAAAAGAAATGCTTTTTACAAATTAAAGAAACACAATATTTACTAAAATAAATAATTTAAGAATATCAAAAATTATCTAAAAACCATTTAACGTAATAAATGTTTCAAATGTTCTTTAATAGTTTCTTAGTAACAAAAACAATAATAGTAAATACGAGGGGGACCAAGAATGTAATTTACTTAATTAATTTATTTTATGTAATTTCTGTAAAAACAAAAACCTAAAACTTTTTGCATGGACGTAAATATAATGAAAATATAATTCAAATGAGGTATCACATGACCCTATTAGAAAATTTAAAGAAAGTAACGTCTACTATCTTACGTCTCAAGTAATGTGCATCTCGTTATAACAAAAATATCATATGTCTCTAATTTCACCTTGTTTTTGTTTCATGTCTCTATCTTCTTCTATTTAGAAGTTAAGAGTGGGGCACAATTATTTACGTCCTCACTGTATACATTTTTTCTTATTAGAAGTATATTTTAATCTAAGTGCACCCACCAAATATTTGAATCGTTTTGAGAATTATTTGTACAAAACACGAGACAAAACACGTTTGTTCGCCAAATTTTAAACTTAAGTTAGAATACTTTTTGTAAAATGTATCAATAATTTTTTCTGAGGAATAAAATTAACAAGATTGTCATTTTTTGGATCCATATTGTTTGTTATACTCTTCACACAGTAATCTATGGAGGGTATTATAGGTTTACTTTCGAGAAATCAACATATTTTATATTAATCCAAATTTTAGAAATGTTTGTATCAAAATATTTAACATATTTTATAAAGTCCGTCCGTCTAATGTCACGTTTTTAGTCCGCACGATCAATCAAAAACAAAATATAAAATCAAACTCTGTAAGTGAATAAATGCCTATTGATTTTGAAAAAAATCTGAAATAAAAATAGGGCTAAGAGGGCTTGAAATTAAAGAAAAATCAGAAATCAAAAACGAAAAACAATATCAACTTGAACTTTTCAGGAAAATAAAGCTTTTTTTTTTTTTTTTTTGAAAGAGTAAAACCAAATTTGGTAGATTTTCACACTTTTATTTTAAAAATAAAAATTTTTTAAAAAAAAAAACACTAACATGACATATGTTTCGAAGTACAACTTCTTTTTCAAATGTGACTATTTACAATTCGGTATCCAATATATATACGAAATAATTTAACAAAACAAAGTACTTAAGAAAAGTACTTTGTTTTGTTAAATTATTTCGTATATATATTGGATACCGAATTGTAAATAGTCACATTTGAAAAAGAAGTTGTACTTCGAAACATATGTCATGTTAGTGTTTTTTTTTTTTTTTTTTTTTTTTTTTTTAAATTTTTATTTTTAAAATAAAAGTGTGAAAATCTACCAAATTTGGTTTTACTCTTTCAAAATTAAATGGATTTTCATCAAGTAAAGGCCGAAACAATAAATAAAATAAAGCTTTATAAGAAGACGAAGCCTATTGATTTTGAAATATCTTAATAAAAATGGAAGGAGATAAAGGGGTTGAAATATTAAAAAAAAATCAACCCAAAACCGATATAAACTTGAAATTAAAAAATTAAGGGGGTGAAGACTATTGATTCTGAAAAAATCTAATAAAAATGCAGATTAAGGGGGGTCTGTTAAATTATGAAGAGTAGAATATAGAATTCCAAGCATTATATGTCTTCATTCTAGATACATTTTAAGAACACTTAAGTAAATAGTGTATCAAATGACCATTGCTTCATCTAAAGACATATTACACGAATCAGTAATGTTACTGTCAAGGCCCAAATAAAGTATTAAAAAAAATGTCTTGAAAGACGAAGAAACATTTTTAATATTTTCAAGAAATAAAAAATATAAATCATTATCAAAATTCAACTATGTATGTGGAACAGATGAAAATACAATTTGAACAGCTATATAGTTATTTACTAATAAATAGTTAGTAGAAAATAATGTGTAAAAATCATAGTTGAGAGGTCCACATACGAATGATACTTTAGGACTTGCACTAAACAATTTTGGGTTTGTCAAACTTTATTTTGTAATTATTGACTTTTTTTACTATAATCATAAAATAAAGTGTTCACATTTTTTCCTCACTTATCATCTTTACATATCTAACAGGACTGGCCTCAATATAATTTGGTCCAATATGGTCTACGTTAGGCGTTACTGTCCTATTTCTTAACAAAACTTACAACAACTTTCTTTCTTTTCTTTTTTTAATTATCGATTCAGTGAAATAATGAAATACATTTTAATATAAAATGAATTAAACTCAAAGCCAATATCACATAAAATACCAACGACCGCTTCCCCTTCAGAAAACAACTACTCCTTTGGCTAATACCGCAACAGGTATTGAATTATAACCGACGGAAAGACAGCAGAGATAGAAATTAAATTTCAACACTCTCTACCTTTGATTTTCGTCCTTATTAGGACTCTTCAGCAAGAAATAGATAGGTTCTCAATTCCAGTCTCTAATGGAATTATTAATTAATTATTTCCTGCTGAAGAGTCCTAATAAGGACGAAACCGGTAAGAATGATGTTCTCCTTAGTGAGCAAAATCAAAGGTAGAAAGTGTTGAAATTTAATTTCTATCTCTGCTGTCTTTCCTTCGGATATAATTCAATACCTGTTGCGGTATTAGCCAAAGGAGTAGTTGTTTTCTGAAGGGGAAGTGGTCGTTGGTATTTTATGTGATATTGGCTTTGAGTTTAATTCATTTTATTTTACGTCTATCACAGTTGAGTTTGATTTATTTTCGTTTTTAAATACATTTTACTTGAAATTCTGTTTTGTTTTGTAATAAAATTAATTAAATTATTACGATATAAATGATTATGTTAATAATTAATCTCAATAACAATGCAAAAAGAGCATTTAAAAATTTAATTTTAAAAACGCATTTAATAATGATAAACATAAATCGGAACTCAATTTTCACATTTACAAAAATTTCTACAATTTATCATTATTAAGAAACTCCCTATAATTTCCTAGTGTTGGCTATCCGCTGGTTAACCGCTAACTGCCAATGTAGAATTACCACTCTATTGAAAACCATTTGCCTTTCAAATATTTAAATTTTCTCCCGCATTCGCATCCAACATCATAATCACAATATGGGCATGAAGCGCATGATTGCATTTTTAAATTCTTGTGCGGTAGGTCAAATGCCATATAAAGTTGACAAACAGTAAATATCTTTTCTATTTTGTAGTTCAGTGGATGTCCTATAAAGTAGTAGTCAAATTATTTCTAAAAATGGTGACGCCATTGTAGTTTTGGTATGTATCAAACGGTTTTCGACGAAGATGTTTAATCTAACCAGGATAAAATATTACACCTCAAGGTATTGTTCTTGGCAATGCCTATACGAGTACAATATTTGAAAATAACTTTTAAAAAAACAGTAATAAATTACCAGTCAGTGTTATATAAAAAAAATATATAAAAATTATGATTATGATTAAAAATATGAAATTGAAATAACTCTTGTTGGCCGATATCCTGGCCCAAACAAATACTTATGTATCGCGAGACTGTTGCCGCAACAAAAATTTGTAGCTATTTCGCTTAAATAACATAAATGAATTATGTGCTAAAATTTTATTAGAACAATTATTTTTGTGACAACCAAAATAAAAGTTATACTTTAACGATATGGACGTTATGAACGTTATGAAAACGTAACTGTTTCACCTTTCCATATGATAACAATTTAAGATTATGATTTTTATCTGGTCGACATCAAAGCTGTATAGAAAAATTTGTCAAAAAATTACTACAAAATGCCAGAAGTTTCTGTTAGGCAATCATCAAAAACAATACCTAATATACAGGGTGGTCAAACGAAAAAGTACCCAGAGCCATAATCAGGAACTGCGTCAACATTTTAGACAGAAATAAAGCCACCCTAAGTTAT